TAATGACGCCAAGATTCTGATTTTTCAGAGTAGAAGTTAATAACATGGTTTGTAAAACACAAAATCCTTGTAAAGTTCGATAAAATAAAGCAATTCATTCGTTTAATAGATACGTGCCAACTGCTAAATGAAAACCATTGGAAACTCTATCATCCTAAGGACAGACATACATATACATTCATGGTATATGCGACTAAAAATCGTATTGCGATATATTGTGATACACCTCCTTGTATTGCAATATGTATTGTGGTATATATTGTGATACACCTCCTTGTATTGCAATATGTATTGTGGTATATATTGTGATACACCTCCTTGTATTGCAATATGTATTGTGGTATATATTGTGATACAACTCCTTGTATTGCAATATGTATTGTGGTATATATTGTGATACACCTCCTTGTATTGCAATATGTATTGTGGTATATATTGTGATACACCTCCTTGTATTGCAATATGTATTGTGGTATATATTGTGATACACCTCCTTGTATTGCAATATGTATTGTGGTATATATTTCAGCTTTTTTTTTAATTTGTGAGCAACTTTCTTTGTTGCACATAAAAAGTGAAAGTAGATTTAGAATATCGTCAATATTGATACGCACAGATCGTTACCGATATTTTGTTTCTGAATCTTCCATATCGCAATATATCGATTATTTCCGACAGCCCTAATGGCATAGCATATAAGCACCAACAGAACGTATTTGTAACAAGCAACTCGGCTTCAGTCTGGTTACTCTTTTGCTCTGTAAGTGTAATGTCTGTGATTGGGATCAACTTCGCTGGTTATATTATGATATATGACTTGACTGGCCTGTCACATCCAAAACTTGACTCCCTACCCCGGAAGGAAATCTTGAGCTAACTACGGGCCAGTATATAGGGTTGAAAGAGAATTATTTAAGAATTAATCTTATCAATTTCATTTATAGTAGTGCTCTTCATTCCTGTTTCCATTGACAATCTGTGGACCGGACTTGATTTCGTCGATTAAATTCATGCCGTGGTAAATCATTGCAGATGTCAGCAGTAAGAGAAATAATAAAAAGGAGATTAAGCTGCGTAA